ATACTACTACTACTACTACTACTACTACTACTACTACTACTACTACTACTACTACTACTACTACTACTACTACTACTACTACTACTACTACTACTACTACTACTACTACTACTACTACTACTACTACTACTACTACTACTACTACTACTACTACTACTACCACTGCTACTACTACTACCACTGCTACTACTACTACTACTACCACTGCTACTACTACTACTACTACTACTACTACTACTACTACTACTACTACTACTACTACTACCACTGCTACTACTACTACTACTACTACTACCACTGCTACTACTACTACTACTACTACTACTACTACTACTACTACTACTACTACTACTACTACTACTACTACTACTACTACTACCACGGTCGGTGAGGGAGAAGGGATGAGGCTTTATGGGTGGTTCCATCTCATGGAGTCTATCCCAATCCAAACCGTTGAAGAACGGATGGCTGATGATAATGATGATGTATACTTATGATCATCAATGACTGTTGGGCTACGTCCTTATCTGCTTGTAGGTGAGTCTATGGTCCTTATCACAGAGGATCCTCTTAAGCAGGTCCTCCGCCTCAGGAGACATCTTCTTACCCGGATATGGTATGTGCAAGAATCTTCTAAAATTCATAACCTGTCGAAAAACACAGTCACCGCGATCAGCGGCGGAGGCATACCTTCTGCATTATCCTATCCGGCGAGTTATGAGAGTCCGAGAAGGGCACGCCTCCCATAAGGCACTCGTACTAAGAGACACATGGTGAGTCGATGCTAGTCGTGGAGGATCACCATGATAACCCCAACAGACCACAGGTCAGCAGCTTGGTCGTAGTCTCTTTTGAAAACCTCAGGGGCCATGTACTGCGGGGTCCCCACTGAGCTCCTGAGTGAGGACGGTACGACGGGATGATGGGTCGCCGACGAACTACTTGAGCCTAGCGCGATCAAGATGGCGAATCTCACCAGAGTGACAGGGCCGAGACTGTGAAGGGGTATCACTGACTCCTCCTAAGATGCCAAACAGCATTGTTCCAATTAGTGAAGTAGAAGCGAATAGTCACCGGTGATGTCCGCGAGGTGTGGTATGTCAACCAACCCAAGATCGACGGGATCTCTTTCAGCCTTCTTAATGCACTCATCGAACCTTCACGATAGGAGCTGAGGGCAGTGGGATGATGAGCCATCACTCACTTGCAAAGACCAAAGTCCAGTAGCTTCAGATGGCCCTCCTTAGTGAAGGCGATATTGTCAGGCTTGATATCACGGTGAATGTACCTCATGGGAATGACAACTACTGCTGCTGATGATGATGCCGGAGCTTGTTGCTAACCCCAGCTTGTGGACTGAATGAACAGCCTCTATGAGTTCTGCTATGTAGAACTTAGTTTGATAGTCGCTGAAGATGTCCAAACGAATGAGATGCGACATCATATCTCCACCAGGGAGGAACTCCATGACCATGTACCTGACACGGGTAGCATTTGGGGAAGATAAATTGTCCAAATTTCTTCTGATTTATAGTATATACAACTCGAGATTCCAAATATCTCACAGATTGTCCTCATCTTGAAAGGTCTGATAGAGTGCACTAACCCATGTATCTCCCATACGAGATAAGAGGCTCTTTTCTGCCACAACCTAAACCACACAACACCCAACTCCTCAGCCGATCAGATGGTCCAACGCGGATGCTACACGATCCCTTTGATTCTTCTTTTTCATGCATTTCTTTGGCATCTGTTTCAATGCATATCTTACATGTGAGAGTTTCACACCTATGGTCTCCTCAGCCACTCACATCTCTTTATCTTCCTTATGCCTGACTACCCTCACCACACCAAATGCTCCCTGACCAATCGTCCTAATGACCTCAAAATCGTCGGTTGTGCCTATCGAACCACAGCCATCATCATATATAAGAACATCTACGGCTCACATCTCTTCCTCTGCAGTCTTAGACATCTATTTTGCTCCTGCACAAAAGCGTCTTCCACAGCCTTCCGTTCCTCATCGGTTTGAAGACTCTCCATCTTGGCAACCACAGCGGAGTGAGCGTGGTTCAGAGCGATGAATCTCGAGGAGTAATCGTATGAGTAAGCTACTGAGACCTACTTGTCAGCCCTGGTAGCGTTCTTGCTTTCCATAGCATTCTTGAATGCAGCCATCTTATCAGAAGCACCAATGGTCATGATGGATTCAATGAGAACTGAATCATCATAATGTCATCACGACCTAACATAGCTAGTCGCAGCTCATAAATACAGATGTTCACGAAACAGTATTCGAAATCATAACAACTATCTTCATCAATATCATATAAATGAGCCGCAGCGATATCAATAGAAATGTGGCAACCTTACTCCTCTTACTCAGGACGATGATGATACACGAGTCACATCACGATATGGAGATCATATTGTGAACATGCACCAGTTGCTGTAACGCGCGTGAATCACTCGGCGAGTGCATTTCCGATCTTTGCCACGCAGTAGTGTAGGCTATAGTTCGCCTTATTCCCCCCAACATGCATAGGAGTTCTTGAGCAATTATTCTGAAATACCCTTCACGTGAGCGTTGTAACAAGTTCATCGCTCATCGGTCGGTCCAACTTTAGTCCCTTCGTCCCGACTTCCCTATGCCTCCTGCGCGTTGTGTTCCCGGGAAGTCCCCTAACTCTAACCCACAGGGCTCCAGCAGCGCCAAGAGCCCACACGTACCATACCAGGCACAGTTCGATAAAGTCCCTCCGCACTGATTTACCTCGAGAGCAACACACATATCAGAGAAACAGATATCAGCAGTGAGGCAGTTATCATCATTGACAATACAACACACAGACTAGACAGCTACGCTTCGCTTGGTCTCGCAAAGAACTCCTTGAGATCGCCGATATCTTCTAAACTGTCCAAGACCCAAGTCGCCTTATTGTATCTACCGGCTCGACGGTGATGCGCATAAGACCAATAGTAAGCACAGTCCTACGTGGCAGAGTGATCCACTTCATCACACTGGAAGCGTTTGTCTGGTAAAGCGACGACGCGCATTCCTGCTGCTAAGGCCGCTTGCACCCCTTGGGCTGAGTCTTCGAAAACAACGCAATCCTGAACACGATGCCAACGATCAGGACGAATCCATTCGACATGGCTGAGCACAACGAGGCGAGCGAGATTCAGGGCCAACCTTTGGATTCGCATCGAGCCTCCTGGCAGCTTCGAGAAAGATGTCGGGCGATGGCTTGCCCTTCTTCACGTGAGGATCATCCCCACATACACAAATAGAAAAACATTCAGCGATCTGTGGGATGTGGCTGACCTTCTTTTGGAACTGTCAAGACAGTTGATCCGTACCACACCATGTTCGAAGTGTGTTGAAAGCCTACAGAAGGTGATATGGAACTAGTAGCAACAGCCCGCTTAGGGTTGTACTTCATCAAGTCTTCCATTACACGAGCAGCACCTGGTACGATTGGTTCTAGTTATGATGCGGTCAGCAGTTACAAACTACTTGTTGCGGATCGAGCGGAGCTACCATTAATGCCCAAAATATTTTTTGTCGAATTTCAAATGCGCGACTTGGATTTATGGGTACTCAAGCATGGGGAGCTCAATGGTGAGAGAATGAGGTCAAAATTCGTCAAAATGAAAGGAAAAAGCGTCCGCCCAGTTCACGCGTTTCTAGATGGCGCGTGCCGTATATTGCAAGTTGAATCATTTCGGATGTGCGGGCGTACGAACTACTTCTCAATTTGGAGAACCTCCACACGCAGAGAGAGTTTGAACACAATTGAACTACCAATCGAGAGCAACATCTATAAAAATATGAAAATCTAGATCTGGTGTCTCCCCGAAAATATATAGACCGAAAACACTTTTCGCTAAACACGTGACGAGCTCCGCCGATTCGTCGAGAAGGCCTGCTCTTGAGCACCTACCTGGCATCAACTCAAGTTGTCCATAGAGTGTGTCCATGCACTCATAGTATTCTTTTATATACTGCTCACGAGGGAGCTGTGCAGGAGTAATGTTGTTGCCATCCAAAACCTAACAGGGTTAGTGCAGAGGATCGACTACAACACTTACGATGCGACTCCAATCCTCAGGTTGTCTGCCCATCAGCTTGGCATGCAGCGCTGGTGTTAGTTTTCCACCGAACTTCTCAATGGGCTTGCTCAAGGCGATAGCTGAGGCACCTGTCACGACGAATGATACTTCATCATTGAAGAACTGCATCATCACCTTCGTAGTCGATGAGAGTTCCATCAACATCGAAAATGAAGGCAGGCAGATCGTCTGACTGATTAACCATTGTATGAAAAGTAACTTGACAAGGGGTCATGAATAGTCAATACCTCGGGCAAGTCAATAACAGATCTCGAGTACTAGAAACGCTGAAAATATTACTACTGCTCCTCCATCATCAACTCCTAGAACGGTTTCAATATTATAATATCTACAAAACGAATGCTTGTACA